ACCATTACAGAGCCTACCTAGAAACCCTCCTGAACTACAACCGAGAAGAAGGCGCCACCAAGTTAGCCCCCCAAGGATGGGTCAATCAGCTGAATGTGGTGAATGTCATGGGAGCGACCGCCGCCAATTCCGATGTCCTCACTGACGCCAATTGGAGTGGCAATACAGAATTGAGAGCCTTGACGAGCCGATTACTGGAAGAACATTGGCACACCTTCCTCATCCGCCCCCATTTGCCACCCCTCAAGACAGGCAAATTGTTGGTCCCCAATGTCCAGATGGACTTTGAACTCTTCCTCAACCCCAACACCATCTACTTGCTAGGTACCCCCAACAAAGGCACCTTGACCGCCAAGAAATTTCCAGCCATTCACCCAGAAGACATCAAAGTCACCTTGCTGATGAGAAAAGTGACCTTGAATGCCAGCGTCTATGTCAGACTGCAGAAAGAAAGACAGCTGGGCAAACGGATTGCCCGCTACCCAGTGGTGCGGAGCGAAATCCGCACCTTTTCCTTCGATGGACGAAGCACCCAGTGGGAACAAGACAATGTGTTTGTGGGTCGATTTCCTGACCGAGTGATGGTCGGGTTATTGCATTCGGATGCCTTCAATGGAAACCTACAACGCTACCCCTTTGCCTTTGAAAAGTTTGGTGTCACCCAGATACGTCAGACCTTGAATGGAGAAGAATACCCTTACAGAACCCTGCAATTGACTGGAGATCAAGCCTATGAAGATCTACTGGGGTACGATCGATTTCTACAAGCCATGGGTGCCTACAATGAAGACAAGATTCCCCTACTGCTGCCTGGGGATTGGGGACAAGGCAAGAACTGCACGTTGTTCTTGTTCAACAATGTGCCTAGTGAAAAAGCCGATGATCCTCAGTATCACAACCCCCGTCAATCGGGCAATGTGCGACTGATCATTGATTTTGCAGCTGCTGTGGGTCACAACATCACCGTGTTGGTCTGGAGCGAGTATGAAAACATGTATGAGATCAATCATATGGGAGGTATAAAGTACAACATCAACGCTTGAGGTGATTCAGAAGACGGGAGAGAGCGAGCATGGAGTTTGTGGCGCTCAGTGATACGGTGCTGCGGACCCTGGCCCTAGAAGATCCCACCTTGCGACGCGTGTTTCACGGGGTGTACCCCGCCGACCAGTTACCCCGTTCACCCCCCAAGAGTGTCCGTCAAGCCTACATTGTCAACACGGATCCGGCGGGAGAACCGGGACAACATTGGTTGGGGATGTGGACGGAACAGAACAAGTGCGAGATCTTTGACAGTTATGGGCTGCCTCTGCACGTGTACACCCACCCCGACCTGCACCAATGGTGGGGTCAATGGAAACACCTGATTCGCAGTGACCAGACGTTGCAAGCCTTGGATAGTCAGACCTGTGGCCATTATGCGTTATTTTTCTTAAAAGCCCGAGCCCAAGGACGGTCGTATCAAGACTTTTTGGGGCAGTGGAGTTGCGATAACTTAGTGTTGAACGATCAGAAAGTGGCCGAGCAGTTGAAACGCGTGATTAAACAGGAAGTACAAGATGAAGTCGATGCCCGCCCGGAGGGAGGGCAAAAGAATGTGAGCCGACAGGCCTTTATGCTTTGTAATCCTTGTGAGTGTTGAAATAAAAAAACACCATAAAACGAGACGTGCTGTGATCGAGGGGTCATTTAAACTCTCATCATGATTACGCGAGGGGATGCCCAGCGGGTGATCGAAGCCTTCGTGTTAGAAGAAACCGTGTATTGGTGGTCCCACCCCATTGAACGGGTGAACACCGTCCAAGGGGTGGATGCGTGGGATGGGTACCATTGGTTGGTGGCCCGCCAACTGGCGCAAGACCAGGACTGGGTCGCTCTCAAACAGTACATGGACACCATGAAAGAAACGCATTTAAGGGAGACCATGGAACAGTTGATTCAATACGAGTCGCCACGCCTCTACCGCGAGTATTGGACGGCATGCCCAGCCCCAGACGACGACGACGACAGCAGCGCGCTTCCTCCCGACGACCCCGCTTTCGTCAAAACGGACGGGGGATCATGAGCGTGTTGGCCAAAGCGTATAAAATCGGTGACAAATTGGGACGTGACAAACGGTATAAACGTATGGGTGCTAAAGGGGCCACGGGTCATTATCGACGTCTGCCTCGACCGTGGGAAGGATGATTCGACATCCCAGTAGTGTGATTATCGCGGGCCCGTCGGGCAGTGGCAAGAGCGAATTAGTGGAACAGTGCTTACGGGACCTCAACGTGTTTCAAGTCCAACCCCACAAGATCGTCTATGCGTACGACCGATGGCAACCCCGGTTCGACCGTATGCAAAAAAAGGAGGGGATTCAATTTCATCGCGGGTTACCGGACCCCCGTCATTTGACCCAATGGTTTGGTCGGACGCGTGGCGGAGTGCTGGTGTTGGATGATCTGATGGAAGAAGGGGGACAGGATAAACGCGTGTTGGATTTGTTCACCAAAGATTCCCATCATCGGAACATCACCGTGCTGTATTTGACGCAAGATTTATTCCCACCGGGAAAATTTGCCAAGACCATCAATCGCAACGCGCATTACATTGTGGCCTTCAAGAATCCCCGGGATCAAACGGGCATACGCACTATTTTACTGCAAGCCTTTCCCGACCGATGGCGTCAAGTCTTGCGCCTATTTAAACGCATCACGTCCCGTCCCTTTGGTTATTTGATGTTGGATGTGCATCCCGCCTCGGATGATCGGTACCGCTTGTGGAGTCATTTAACGCGCCGAGAAGGCAAGGCGCAAGTCCATACCTTGCCCGTGGATGTCCCTGCCGTTCGACAACGAGCTGCAACGAGAACTCGCCAGGGTCCGTCGGCAAAGAGAAGGCGGACAACATTCTGACTTAGCGACCCGCATGGACACCCCGACCCTCTCGCCCGCCGGGGTGGGCTCCCCCACGTCACCTCCTCCCTTCCAGGACCTCAGTAGCATGACGGACATGGTCACGGAATTGACCCAACCCGTGGATCGAGCCCAATTGGATCAAGAGATTGAGGATTTTAATTTGACGTTTCCGATCAATGTGGACGATGCCTTGAATGCCTTTACGCTTCCCCCTGTGGCAGGCACAGGCACCACCACCACCCTCACCACCGCTCCCACCACGACAGCCACCCAAACCCGCCCCACCACCACCAGTTCCAGACGACCCAGACCACGCCCTGTCACCACCGCCACGACCACCACCGCTCCCTCCCGCCCCTCCACCGCCCGTCGTAGTGCTGGAGCGGGGACCCGGACCACCACCTCCACGGTGACGACCCCGACGGGTCGTCCCACCGTGGCCGCCAAACAACCGCGACGACGTCCTCGCGTACCCTCTCCACCGTCCCCGGATTCCTCCCCTCCGTCGGAGGATGAGGATGAAGATGATGATGATGATCGACGACGAGGCTTAAGGCGACGGTTGGATTTGCTGAATGAAGATGCGCAAGAACGGGCGCGAGGGAGGCGCATTCGCAATATTACACATACCAATACGGTGACCACCGTGTATGAAGAGGGAGGGCGACCGTCCGTGCGCCGCACCTCGACGCGAACCTCTGGTCCACCCCCACCACGCCGAGGTCGTGGCCGTGGCCGTGGCCGAGCCCGTGGACGGGGTCGACGCCCGTGAAGATATAAAACCAGGATCCTTCCTTCGACCGTCCCAAAACCATGTGTGGCCGATGTCGAAGCGGAATGGCCCCTCGACGCAAACGCAAACGCACCACGACCCGACGACAACAACGCCGACCCGCCAAACGACGAAGGGGTCAAGTGGGGGGTGTCGGACCTGGCCTGCCTCTTGGGATTCTCAAAGCTGGGTATGGGATCACCAAAGCCATTGGGGATCATCAACAAAAGCGAGCCCAAGCCATTATTGACAAACGCACACGAGAGTGGGAATCCGGCAAACGGAAACGCTATGCGGGGGAATCGTTTAATTGTTCCATCATGTGAAAAAAAAAGTATAAAAGACAAGAGGCGTGTCTTTTGTTTGACAGAGAAGGGATTATCATGCCTTGTGGTCCACGACAACGAACACGACGCCGACAGCAACGAGGGGGTATTCTCCCGCTCCTCCTCCCTATTGCCGTCGGTGCAGCCATCGCCTTGAAAAAAAAGAACAAGAAAAAAGTGGGCAAGACCACGGCTGCGGAATGGGCGGCCAATCAACGACGGGTCCGGCGAATGTTAGGTCGAACGGGTTGGGGCGGGTTTAAAACACTGAGAAAGCTATAAAAGACACGCCAGGTGGGGACCCAGACATTATTGGAGAATGGTCCGTGGACCCAATGGACGCCGACACCGTTATGTCCCCCGAAAACGACGCCGTCGACGTGGTCATCAACGCGGAGGTAGGCTACCGCTGTTGGCAATGGCTCTCTCGCCTTTGTGGCTCAGGAAATACAAACCCAGGGTCCGTCTTCGTCGACCGGACTAGACCCCCCCGTAAGGCCATCACGATGACGTTAGAGTGGACGGAGGAGATTGAGGCCGCGTTGTGTCAGCGATGTCGACGTCATATGCAACGGCATTTTCATGGGGAACTGTGTCGCCAGTGTGGGGCCCAATTTACCATAAATAGAGCGGGGTCGTGGCAATTCCTCCACCTTCAGCATGGCGTGGCGCATGGAACGTCAAGCCCCGTTCTTGAAAAGTGTCTTACAAGAAGCCAATCAACATAAACGACAAGAATTGTTGTGGATGGCGAATGCGGATCAGATCAATGCCATCAGTGAATTGGTGATGAACACGCTCCGTGGCACCGTGCCCCGTTCTCGACATACCATCACATTGCTCAAACCCCATGCCCATAGTTTACGCGCCATGGCCAAACCCGCGCATTCGGTGAAACGACGACGCGCTATCATGATGGCTCAAACAGGCGGCGCCCTCTGGCCCGAACTCTACCGATGTTATAAACGTTGCATGCGCTAAAGGAGACACCTCAGTTGCATGATGGAACCCGAGATGGTGAGCACCACGGTGGACAACGCCCCTGCTTTTTTACAATTAAAAGAGAAGTACAAACAAGAATTGGTGGAAGATACTCGCTTGAGTAAAGCCGCCGATTTGGCGGCCAGACAACATGTGCTCTTGACCAGCGAGGTCCCGGATGCCTGGAAACGACCGCACCTCAAAGCCGTGAGCCGTCAATTACGCCATTGGACCAAAAAAGTGCGTCAACCCTTTGGAGCGCCCGCGGGGGGTGTGCGCGCCGCAGGGGCTACCACGCCCGGCGAGGAGGATGATTTTGAGGCGGGGCCTATGCAAGCGTGGTTCACGCAATTGGTCAAGGCCACCAAAGGTATAAAACAAGGGTCCACGCCGGCTGGACCCAGAAAACCACCGGTCCCGCCTAAACCGAACATCACCCCGAGTGCTAAAAAGAAACTCAAGTTTACACCTCAAGTGAGCAGCGCGGAGTTGGCACACGAGTTGCCTTTTTCAGAGGAGCCTGGCAAAGAACCGTGGGATACCCCCAGTGAACGGGTGGACTCTATCAAGAAAGCGGTCAAGTGCGGGATTCGCAAGAAAGCCGCTGGGGTCGCCAAAAAGAAAGGCATTAGTTTGGCTAAGAAAGCCTTGGATTGGAAAACGTGGAAAACCCCGTGATGGGACGGAGACGTCGTGCTACGGCTGCCTCCCGTACCCGATCGAGGCGACGACCGCGACGATCGCAACGCGGGGGCAAGTTATTTGATGTGCAAAACCTCCTCAACAAGACGGGCATTGAATTTCATTGGCCTGGCTATCAGTATATGGGCCCTGGCACCCATTTGAAAAAACGTTTGGCCCGTGGGGATCCCGGCATCAACCGGTTAGACAGGATTGCGAAAGTGCATGACATGGACCAAGACCTTGAAAGATAAATGGGTGGCGGATCGTAAGATGATTGCCAAGATTGATCAACTCCCTGGCCGCAAAACCCTGACGGAGCGTATTGTGAGACGCATTATGAAAACCAAACTGAGATTGGGCATGTAATTAAGTTGAACACAGTCATCATAAGATTGAATGATCTAATCACATGTTTTAATAAACTCACATTGTTCTTACAAATACTGTTGCAATTGCTGTAACGCGTTTGAACAAACCGATTGTACAGGGTCCTCTTCAGGCTCGGAGTCGACCCAGTCTAACGGTAACCACGGGAGGGGAAAGGGACGCTCTAATTGCTCGTCCAACCATTGCCAACGTTGACGCCGAATGGACTCCATCCGTTGCTCGTACTTTTTTGATTGCAAGGCTTTCCACCCCTCTTCGCCCAAGACTCGCTTTTTCTCTGCTTGCAACGCCCGTCGCCGTTCGTTCAACCGGTGTTTGTAGGCCTCGTAGGTCCCCTCTTCCTTCATTTTCGCCATCCAGTTTTTTTGGGCTTGCGCGTTCCTGCGTTTCACTTCACTCCGCCGCTCCTCGGACATGGCATAGTAGCGCTTCATCCCATACTCGACCTTTTTTTTTTTGAAGGCCTCGTATTCCCCGTTGGCTTTCATGCGTGCCATGCGCTCGTGGTAGCGTCGACGGTTGAGGGCCTTTGTATTCTCGATCCCATTGACAGCCGCATACTGTCGCTGTCGATACAGTTTTTGTTGAATCCTATTTTTCTCGGGGTCCCGCTTTTTTCGGCTCGATTTGGGCGTATCCATGCTGCAATTCGAGTAAACGGGCAGCACACACGTCCGCCAAGGCCCGTAACTTTCGGAACGGACTCTCGGTTCTCTGTCGAGCCCTGGCACGTCGGTCCCGCTGTTGTTGTGTAATCTGCTCGCGGTGCCTGTGGTAATAGTCCCGGTTCAGCAAGCGTACATAGGCCGCGTTTTTGGTTCGATACCGTTGACAAGCCAGTCGGTTGAACTCTCGATCTTGGGCTTCCTGTTCGGGCGTCGGGGCTGGTTTAGGTGGTTTGGGTTGTTTCACCTTTTTCTGGGCCGCCCGCTTTTCACGTTTCTGCTGCAACAATCTCTCTTTGTTCTTGAGATACCACGCGTGTTTCAACTCTCTCGTTTTCTCAGGATCTTTGTTGGGCATCTCGAACTCACACTGACGTCTGTTCTGAACGACCGACTTTATCTAGGGGGTTCTCCACCAATCACGGATCTCGGTCCAGGCCTAGAGGAGATGGAAGGAGTCTGTACCCATGGGGGGGACCACCCCTGATCTTCTTCTGGTCGATCAAACCCCCTCACCTGACTCTCACCTGAGCTGGGTCCACCAATCCCAGCGCAGGAGAGATCACGTGAGAAGGTCTATAAAAGTCCACGTCCGGCGCGGGAAATTTCAAATGGGTTGCCGCTGTCATGGCGGAGGCGTATCCTTTCAGTGAGGACGAAGAGGGGGATGCTCTATTGGACCGCGCCTATGATCGGTGGGAACAGTTGGGAGGGGCTGCCGCCCGTGGCCCTCTCTTTCAATTCACCATGCAACCCATCGGTCGACGACGCCGCTGGCGTAATGTGGTGGAGCGGGCGCAATTCAATGCGCAATTACGGCAGTTGCGGGATCCTGTCCCTGGGGATAATATTGGTATGGCTTTGACCGAAGCACTCCATCAAGCCATTGAAACAGAACTGGGCCGCGAGCAGCGACCTGCCCATCATTTTGTGAATTTTGCCATTACAGCGCATGGGTTCACCCATGCTTATCAAACAGTGAATTTTACGGTGGGGGAATTTTTACAACGCACGGCACGTTTGGATGAAATGTTAGCGACGTTAGCCGGCAAGTTGAATAGCGATGAAGCCTTCAACCCCGATCGCGGTTTCCAAGTGGATGTGGTGTTTGTCTCCATGCCTGGTCCAGGGTCTGGTCGACATAAACAACGCAATGCCGGACGTCTATGCCTGGATCGAGAGAACAAGAAAAAAAATGTATTATCACCATTCGAAACAGAGATGCCCTATGCTGTGCTCGCGCTATCGTCACCATGAGTGCCCACTGCCATAAAGATCAAGGGGTGGACGGATTTCGCGACTGGGACAATCTCAAACGGGGGCTTCCTGTGCAGCAACGTCAAACCCAAGCCCTCCATCAGCAAGCGGGCGTCGCCGAGGGTCCCTGTGGTTTGCCAGAGCTTCGCCAGTTTCAACAGGCATTAGGCTCTCAATATCAATTGCTGGTGATGACCCGGATGAAACCGTTTTTTCTGATCTTCAAAGGCCCTGACGCGCCTCATCCGATACGTTTACTCAAATCCAATGATCATTTTGATGGCTGCACGTCCTTTCCTGCATTTGTGAACCGCTCGTATTATTGCCTGGACTGTGAACGAGGGTTCAACAACAACGATCGGACCCATCACACTTGTCAAGGGAGACGCTGCAAAGCGTGTGGTCGATTTGATTGTCAAGATTATGTGCGTGGCACCCGCCCCACGGACTATTGCTCCTTATGTCATCGCAAGTTTTACGGCAGCCAATGCAAACATCATCATGTGGTCAGCAAGCAATGTCAATCCCTTAAAACCTGTCTCAAGTGCCAGGCCCAGTACACGGTGGTTCCTGACCGACGTCACCAGTGTGGGTACGCCAAATGTCCCGTGTGTCACGAATGGGTGTCCATCCAATACCATAAGTGTTACATTCAACCCGTGGTCGAGAATGAGGAGTCTGAACCCACAGAGGAGGGGGGAGGTAGCATGGTGGCGCCACCCCCTCCTCTGTTTGTTTATGCCGATTTTGAAGCCATGCAGAATGCGGAAGGCGTGTTTGTGGCCAATTTGTTGTGTTATTCGTCCAGTGAAGAAACGACCATTCATGTGTTGGACGGGGAAGACTGTGCTCTACAATTTTTGCATGATTTGGATGATATCACGGTCCTCCCGGACACAGAGGGTGAACGGGAGATTCTCGTGGTGTTTCACAATTTAAAAGGGTTTGACGGCATGTTTATTTTGCATGAACTGTACCAGCAACAACGCGAAGTGGTGGATCAACTGACGGTGGGCGCCAAAGTGTTGTCTTTCAGGAGCGGAGCTGTCAAATTCATTGACTCGTTGTGTTTCCTACCTATGCCACTCGCCTCCTTTCCCAGCACCTTTAATTTGACCGAATTAAAGAAGGGCTTCTTTCCGCATTTGTTCAATACCCCAGATCACCAACAGTACGTGGGCCGCATCCCCGATTTGGAATTTTACGATCCCGAGGGCATGATGGCCAAAAAGAAAGACGAACTGACGCGTTGGCACGCGGACCAAGTCCGTCGTAACGTGCGTTTTGATTTCCAACAAGAAATGATCGAGTACTGCAAATCAGATGTGGCTCTCTTGAAAGCGGGGTGTGAAGCCTTTCAGCAAGAATTTGAACGGCAGGCTGGCTTCAATCCTATGGCCAAATGCATCACCATCGCCAGTGCCTGCAATCTCTATTGGCGCAAGCACCATTTGACTCCCGACACCATTGCCGTCGAACCACTAGGGGGTTGGCGAGGGGCCCAAGTCAACCAATCGCTCAAGGCCCTACAATGGCTGTATTATCAGGAACATCTCCTTCCCAAGGAGGGGGCCAGTGCCGATCGCATTCGTCATGTTCGGAATGGGGGCGAACAGTTTGTCCGGACCCTCGTGAACAGTTATTTCGTCGATGGCTACGATCCCTTGACCCGTACTGTCTACGAATTTCATGGGTGTCTCTACCATGGCTGTCCCACTTGTTATCCCATGAGAAATGTCAAACATTATGCAGTGCCAGACAGAAGCGTCGAGGAACTCTATCAAGCCACGCTCTCCAAACGCATGGCCCTGCTCCGAGCGGGTTACACGGTGATTGAAATGTGGGAATGTGAATGGGATCGACTGGTTGATGACGAGCCTGCTGTCTCTCAGTTTCTGGCTTCTTTTGATCTGGTGGCTCCCCTGGAACCCCGTGACGCCTTTTTTGGGGGACGCACCGGTGCGGTGGCTCTCCATGCCGTGGCTGAAGAGGGGGAGGAAATACGCTATGTGGATGTGACCTCCTTGTACCCGTGGGTGAATAAGAACTGCCCTTACCCTATCGGTCATCCCAAGATCATCACCCAACCCGCTGACCAGTCCCTGGAGTCCTATTTTGGTATTGCTACGGTGGACATTCTCCCTCCGGCTGGCCTGTTCCACCCCGTTTTGCCTGTACGCTGTGGCCAAAAGCTCACCTTTCCTGACAGAGCAGGCCCAACCCATGTTGACCCGAACCCAGTATTGCCCTCATTCGGACGCGGATCGCACGCTACGTGGGACCTGGTGCACCCCCGAGCTGGTCAAAGCCGTGGAAAAAGGGTACACCCTCATCAAGATCCACGAAGTCTGGCATTTTCCCCCCGAGCAACGCCAAACAGGTCTTTTCGCCCCTTACGTCAACACTTGGCTCAAGTTGAAACAAGAATCCGCGGGGTGGCCCAGTTGGTGTCAGACCCTCGAGCAAAAACGCGAGTACATTCTTCGTTACCAGGAACGGGAGGGGATCCGACTGGACATTGCCAGCATTGCCAAAAATCCCGGTCGCAAGGCCACCGCCAAGCTCATGCTGAACAGCTTCTGGGGCAAGTTTGGGGAGCGGATGAACAAACCCACCACCGTCACCGTTCAAAACCCCGCCCATTTGTTCAATCTCATTTCTGACGCCGCTCTCGATCTCAGTACCCTCCGTCTCTGTACCGACGACATTTTGGAGGCCGTTTACACTAGTGTCCAAGACAATGCCGTCAAAGGCACCAAGACCAATATCTTTGTGGCAGCGTTTACCACGTGCCATGCTCGATTGAAGCTCTACGAGTCCCTCGACACCCTTCAACAGCAAGTCCTCTACTATGATACGGACAGTGTGGTGTACAAGTGGCGTCCGGGTCAACCCTCTATCACCACAGGCGATTTTCTGGGGGACATGACGGATGAATTGGACGGAGACGTCATCACCGAGTTTGTTTCGGGGGGCGCCAAGAATTATGGGTACACGACCCGTGGAGGTAAAGTGGTGTGCAAGGTCCGCGGTTTCACCTTGAATGTTCGGGGGTCCGCCATTCTTAATTTTCACGCCATGAAAGAGAACATTCTCTCGGAACTAGACTCGCCTCAGGACTCTCGCCGACAATTGAACATTGTCACTCCTTATCATTTCACACGGGATCTAGAGAAGAAACAAATTCAAGTGGTTCCGCGCGTGAAGCAGTATGGGTTGGTGTTTGACAAGCGCGTCATCGATGTAACCACTCGATCCAGCTATCCCTATGGCTACGAGAGGATTGGTGATGAACTCGATCTGCTATTAGATTTGTAAGAAATAAAAATGGGCTTGACGTCACTAGGACCTCACACACGTCCCACTTGTACCCAGGCTTTACGCGGTCATTAAAACTATGCGAAGAATGTGGATCCACCTCTTGTGTGTGCGTGTTCTTTTTCCCATGGGGTCACGTGAATTGGATGCCCAAATATGGGAGCTTGTGACATCAATTTGGTCACATGGGCTCAATGCTCGATTCTGATTGGTTCACCACCATTTCTGCTGCGCTGTGATTGGTTGGTCCCTAGTGTAGCCTCTATCACTACTCTGGTACAAGGTTTTCGTCTTGTGAAAGTTAAAATTACTGAATTTCCAGATGGATTCCGTGTTAATCAATTATCAGCGAGCATTTAAAGCTTTTTATCAAAATTGCAATCGAACATACTGTATACCTCAATAACAATCTGTTTCATTTCCTTCATCGGGCATATAATTCAGTTTGTTCGCCTCGTAGCGTCATTCACCTTTTGAGGCAAGTAAAACCGTTTTTTTTATATTAGAAAAAGCAGTAAACTGTACTGGGATTTTCTACTAGAAACGATTCTGCGGGTGATTATTGGAACGTGACAAGATGTCAACGATGATGTTTGTGAGAAGTCTGGAAAATCAGGAAACGGGAATCGGGAGTTGGGAATAGGACACAGAACCGGAGCTCATCAATATGGCGTAACAGACAGAGAGAGGACCTCCGCTGAAAAATAACCCGCACACTCTGAAACAGCTGTCTATGGTTACAATCCCGCTCTATTTTGAGTTCTTTCGGTGTCGTGTTGATGTCTTGCAAAGTTAATTTTCACGTAGTACGATCAGCATTGTTCTGTCGCACACTTTGTAATAATCGTCGCACTTTGTAATGCCTTTCGCACTTTGTAGTACCTATTCCACTTTGAAATTACACTTATAGCACTTTTTATTAAAAAAGCTGACGCACTTTGTAATAACGGACCATCACACTTTGTAAAAAAATAGGCTGTGGCACTTTCAAATAAACCTGAAATGGATGGTCGGGGGACAAGTAACAACAACAACAATAATAATGATAATAATAATAACAGAAATAATAACAAGTAATGGTAACAGGACTGAGTGGAGTCCAATTCGGTCTGTAATCAAACTCGTGATTAACAAAATCGGACGAACGCGTAGCGGAAGTCCGATTTGTTTAATCACGAGTATGATTACAGACCGAATTGGACGACACGAAGTTCTGTTACCAATTAATCATAACTTTAACAAAATTTGTGATATATTAGGCTCTTTTTTTAATATAAACACAAGAAACTCCTAGATTTTTTTTGCTAGCAGTGAAAAAAAAAGCCATTTTAGCGCGCACTTGATGGCGCGTACTGTCCAAGTACTTAGGCATGACACGTTCTGTCCTATTTAACTGTCAGGGCAGTTGATAGCCAATCAGATTTAAGAACTTTGTTATAGTTATGATTACAATAATAACAGTTATTAACTATTATTATTATTATTATTATTATTATTGAGGATGTTTTAAGATGACGATGACGAAGATGATTATTTATATTAAAACCGCTCTTGACACGGCCACCACAACAACAATCTCAATCATTCCAACTAAAACTTAGCCTGAAATTCACCCGATTGCTTCGAGTCGTTATCTCCTCTCAACAACGTCTGAATCGACCGGCCGTTAATGCCGTCCAGTGACGTCACTCACTACCCGAAAACCGGGTAGTTTTTTTGATTGGTTGATTTTCTAAACATTCGCATAATTTTGTATAATTATGAAAAATTTTAGCGGAATTGTCGCTTGGTATTCAGCGGATCGCACCCCTGGCATTCTTTCGTTTAGTTCAAAACATTCGATAA